TTTCTGAGGATGGACAATGATCATCACATTTTCTATCAACATATTCTTTTAACATGTTAATGTGACATAACTGTTTCTTTCTTTTACGATATGTTGTTAACACAATGTAATTTAAATAATTAAGTTTGGCCTTAACTACATAAAGACCAAAATATCTAGCGTGTAGCACCTGCCCTGAAAAAGCACAAGCACTTTGTCCCCTGAAGCAAACTGTCTGAATTTTGACTTTTTGTCAGACCAGACTTTCATTTTAGATTGAGAATTTTTAAATGTAATTTAGCCAAATTAACGGCATTAAAAAGTTTAGTTTTAAATTTTTGGACATAGTCAAGAAGTCCTTCCGTGGGTGTCAATGACATCCACGTGTCTTTTAAAAGTTTAAGGGGACCACGAACCGTGTGGCCAAACACCAGTTCGAAGGGGCTGAATCCAAGTTATTCTAGAACTGCTTCTCTTGCGGCGAACAGTATCATGTTGATGCCTTCATCCCAGTCTTTCTCTTGTTCTAGGCAGTAGGTTCATATTCATGTTCTTCAACGTCTGATGGAATCGCTGAAGTGCTCCCTGTGACTCAGGATGATATGCACTCGACAAGGAGTTTCTATGCCCAACTGGTTCATCACTTTTTTGAATATTCCAGCCTTGAAGTTGGTTCCTTGGTCAGAGTGTACAGACTTCGGAAGACCAAACAATGTAAAAAACTTCGTCAAACCTTTGACTATGTTCGGAGTCTTGATATTGCGAAGAGGAATAGCTTCTGGGAACCTTGTTGACGCAAACATGATTGTCAGCATGTATTTTTGACCTGATTTCGTCTTTAGCAGAGGTCCAAAGCAGTCTATAATCACGCAACTGAAAAGTTCTTCGAATGCTGGAATGGGTTGAAGAGGAGCTGCTGGTATTTTCTGATTTGGTTTCCCTACCACCTGACAAGTATGACATGATCAGCAGTAGTCAACCAAATCTTTCTTGATTTCTTAGTTTGGCCAAGAAGAAGTGCGACGTTATTTTGTGATAAGTCTTGTTTACTCCCAAAATGGCCTGAAAGTGGTGAATCATGGGCCAAGTTCCTGCTTCGACTTCGAGTTTTATGAGCTTATAATACGCACTGACTTATAATGTGAGAAATTAATCCCCTATTTTAATTTTAATTGGCTCATTGTCATATCGGTGGATTTAAAACTAAGAATATCCAATCTAGAATTTTACAGAAAGTTCGATAACTTTAAAAAGCGGGATAGAGATACTAACTGGATAGGTGTCCTCTCGGAAATCTCAAACAAACCGAGATCGTTCCCTACCGGCATCGGGATCCGACAGCTATCAAGGTCCAACTGGTATTGGGATCCCACCGGTATCGTTGTCCCATTGGTATCGAGATACCACCGGGATAGGAATACCGATGGGATTGGGATCATACCGGAATTGGGATTCCGATTCTTCGGAATCAAACCGGAAACGGTATTCAAACGGGATTGGGTTACCGACGCGGTTGGATTCCACCGAGATCGTAATTAATACAAGGATGTAGACCAGTGGTTCTTAACCTGGGTTCGATCGAACCCCAGGGGTTCGGTGAGTCAGTCTCAGGGGTTCGGCGGAGGTCGAAAAAAAATTAGAAAAAAATCATATTTTATTTTGCCTATTAAGAATGGTTCGGTGGATTCGCGTATGCAACTGGTGGGGTTCGGTACCTCCAAAAAGGTTAAGAACCAATGCTGTAGACTGTAGACGTTTTTCATTTCTAAGGCTATAAATACTAGATCCGCTAGTATAAAGATGTATATAAAAGGGAACGTTTGTGGGTTAGTTCCACAAAGGCTCTTACCTACTATATGTGTATACAATTAAAATTATTTATTTATTCAGGCATTTTTATATAGCGCTTACCTTAAAGATTTAAGTGCTTTAAAATTATTAAAAACATGTAAACTAAGTAAAATAAAAATGAAAAACCAGAGAAACTAGGATAGTAACTACCATACTATAGAAACAATTAAAATGGCTATAAAACGAGCACACTATGGCAAAATTAAATTCAAATACTCCTACATGAGTAGATGGATATTGAAAAAACTTAGTACACATCCTCTTTATTATCAAAATTAAAATATTGAAGGCTATTAAACTCATAATATCCATTCCTCCCGTTTCTATTTTTCTTATAAAAGCTATTAGATATCAATTGGCTTAATAATCGTACATGAATTGATGGATCTTGACCAAACTTAGGAGACATATACTTGATTAAACATTTAAAATAACGACGGGTTCTGAACTAATAATATCCGTTCTTCTGGGGCCAGAGGCCCCATATCATTTTCCCTTTTTTAAACTATATAAATATCAATAGGCATAGAGAACATTGTAGAGTTTATGTGAATTGTATGATAATTCACTAAATCGTCATTATTGAAATATCGGTGGATTTAAAACTAAGATTATCCAATCTAGATTTTCCAGAAAGTTGGATGAATTTAAAAAGCTACCTCCATTTGTAATAGATAAGAATGATCTATGCTGAAATAACGCTAGAGAACCGATAAAGTTGAAGTACGTTCAAATTCTTAAAAACAATAATTGTTATTTTCTATTATTTTACGGAAATCAAATAAATTTAAATGCGCAAAAAAACATTTTAAATCCGCTATTATTTTAGTAAAATTTTAAGTATCATTATTATAAATTACAAATACATTTAATGGTATAAACTAATGGGAACAATTTTATGCATTTATCCGAATGTAAAAGTAAGAAAAAATTATTAATAAAAATATTATGATCTAAGAATCGCATCTTATTCATAATTATCTGGAAAACCCAAACATCTGTTACTCCTAGTGTGTATTTCAGTGCATTGGTAATATTGCAAAATTTAAAAAAAAGTAATTTCATCTCAATAATTATGCAAATGACTTTATAGCGCGATTGCCTATTTTAGAAACAGCTTTAAGTTTCTTTGATTGTATAACCGTGCGTGACAAAACTAATATAGTGTTTTCCCTTTCTAAAAAATAAAATTAAAAAACATGAAGATGGCTTTTCAAATTGCTAAAATTTTCTAACAGTAAATACAACCCTAGCTTTTTATTTTTACCGTTTGATAAGTTTTTATTTTTATACTTAAAAAAAAAAAAAAATTACCTTAAATATACTTTTGATACGAAAATGCTGTTTAATGCAATCAGTGCCGGGAAACTACATATACAAATATCATTCACTAATGCACTTATAGCTCATCCAAATAAGAGCAATGCATGTGAAATGGAAAAAAAAATTGTTTTTTGGTAATTAAGGGTGTGACAATATTGTGGATACATTTTTTTTTTTAAATCTGTTTGATTTCGGGGGGTGGGGGGGTGGGGGAAGTAATACGATTGTTTTATTAACCAAAAGCAGCACAAGATGCGCCTCAGAATGAATATGTCAAATAATTAACCTTATTAGGTACATATATATCGGGGTAAAGAAATAGGGTGCTTAAAATTTTACGTGTATGACAATATCTCTAAATCAAATGATATTAAAGTTTTGATGATATAGTCTATTTTTACCAAAAAAGAAAATCAATAACGTTCACAAAACGTAAGTATATTTACACAATCGTACCCATGAATATATCACAATCCATCATTTTACACAAGCGAACATTTATTTTTCAAAAAAGAATTGGGTTAAGACTTGATAGATAGATAGATAGATAGATAGATAGATAGATAGATAGATAGATAGATAGATAGATAGATAGATAGATAGATAGATAGATAGATAGATAGATAGATAGATAGATAGATAGATAGATAGATAGATAGGATGGATGGATGGATGGATGGATGGATGGATGGATGGATGGATGGATGGATGGATGGATGGATGGATGGATGGATGGATGGATGGATGGACGGATGGACGGATGGACGGATGGACGGATGGACGGACGGACGGACGGACGGACGGACGGACGGACGGACGGACGGACGGACGGATGGACGGATGGACGGACGGACGGACGGATGGACGGACGACGGACAGACGAACGGATGGACGGACAGACGAACAGAGGATGGGACTGAAAGATGGATCGATGGATGGATGGTAACGAACGCTTCCTTAAATAGTTACGCAAAAGGTATCTTTTATTCGGTAAACTATATTTATACATATATAAATATTAATGTATTTATGTGTTTCCCGTATGCGCTACTATACACTTAATCCGTTTGCGATAAAAAAAATTGTGAGTTGTGCATTCGCCGGTAAATTTTCCTGAAATATTAAACACATTTTATAACATTCCTTTTCCGCCCAAGGCTCTAATTTCTTTTTTTTTTCTGTCATACTGTCATGAGCTAAATATAATTTCTGTATGCTTTTCAATACCATTCATCCAATTGCGATAAAATTTTGGTAAATTGTTTTGCGCAAGCCCGAAAATTGTGTTGTTTTTTTTCTTATAGGAGCTATACACATATTTTCAAACAGAGGTTTTGCATGGGTGGATGGATTTAAATAAAATACAAGCGACATTTCAGTTTGTGTGATATAATAATTAGTTTTCTGAATTAGAACAATAATTTTACAATTTGGCGTTTTTGATGGGGGACCTTATTTCTTTTTTTTTTTTTATGTGAGTTATTTAAATATAATTTCATTCTTTGGGACAGCACAAGTTTTTCATAAAGTATTATGGCCCGCCTTTTATTTTGAGTTGTGCAGGCCTGGGCGAGTATATAAATACAAATCTTATTTTTGAACGTGATTCTTTTATGTTTTTAGTAAATAAATTGGTTGAAAGAAATACCACCATCTCTATATAAATTATTGTATATATATATATATATATATATATATCATTACATCATGAGAGAAAGTAATGTTCTAAAAAAATAATTCGCTCTACTGCTTAAAAGAAAAACCAGCCCATATTTTGCTTGAGCTTATATGAAATGGTAGTCAATTGTATCAAGCGTGTTTTCAAATTCTAAAGCAAGACTTGTCTAACGGGTTTCATTTATTCTCTCAATATGTTTCAATTTACTTCCTCTTACTAAAAATGTCGTGATGTGTTTACAAAATGCGTCAAGCTACATAGCAAAACGAAAATATAAGTCGTATTGTTAGCGGATAAAAATATTTAAGTGATTTTTCTCTTCAGAAATGTACAAAACCTTGTATATTTTTAGTGACCGTGGCATTCACAACATTTGATCTTTCCTCAAAGCTGTTAATTTTTTTAGTTAATGCAATAATTGTAAATTATTGACGTTAAGTCATGGATTTAAACGATATTTACTTAACCTTAGCGCTGTGTATGAATATATATATAGCTAAAAGTGAATTTGTTGACATTGTTTTGAAAATTGGAGATTCTAACAATTTTAATTACACTCGATTTATCAATGTGACCCAACAGCAGTTTGTATGGTAAGTTTTAATTGCAACAATGTTATAAATGCTAGAATAATAATTACCTTACATGCATTAAAGTCGTAATTTTATTTGCTGTTTAGCGAAGTAAGTTTAATAAGTATAAAAAAAAAAAAACTGAACTATAAGCTTTTATTATTTAGTATCATTATGAGCATCACCTCATAACACTAATCATAAAAATATATATATACAAATATTAGTTTAGATAAACTTAATTAAAAACGCTTATTTATTTTAGGCTTTCCTCAGTGCTGTGTGACATCAACACATATTCCTATTCTATAACATATGACAGAGATGGTGGATCTTTGGTCAGTAACAGCAGTACAACTTTTATGGCACAGGAAGTAGATCCTACCGTTTATGAAAAGGAGTTTACGTGCACTTCTACGGTGACAGTATTTCAGTGCACACGGAGACAAAATATTCAAAAGTGTGACGATAATAAGATATCTTGGATGTATCTTAGCACAGACACGTTATCTACATGTCCAGACAATTGTGGCTTTATGTGCCCTGTTTATCCTGTTCAAAGTATTATATTTACATATGATAAGCAAACGTTTAAAATTACCACTAATGCAAAGTGTAATAATACGCTGTCTCATATAACATCAACATTAAAATCAAGTGAATCATCGGCATCAAACCAAGGAACATCATCTACAATCATTTCAGAATATCATACTGAATATTATAATTCAAATGCATTATGTAATGCAGATGAAGGTGTCCCTGTTTATGTTGTCATAATTTTGGTTATTGTAATCGTGTTACTTCTTATAACAGTAGCTTTAATGGTGTTCAAAAATAAATTGAAATGCAGAGAGAAATGGAATCACTACCAACATGATTCCAAAACGAATGATTCAGATAGAGGTAGGATGTCATCCATTACTATCAATGATGAAAACAGTGCAGGCTATTCACAGTATCAGCAGGTATCTGACGTTGTTCCTGAAACTGCCAATGGTTCATCACAATCAAAAACTCTATATGTAAACGATACAAGTGATGCTCAGCTTTCCAATAATGCCAATAACAATGGATCTGTGTTTTATGAAAACTCAATAGATCATCTGAAAGCTATGAAGTCATCTTCCGGGAACACAAATAATTATGACTCACTAAATCTACATCAGAAAATAGAAAATGTATATCTTAAGCCTACTTTATAATTACGTCAAATTTTCTATCAATGTTGTTTTTGGAGGATTTCTAAAAGAGAGTAAAAAAATGGTTTTACCTTCTTAGTATATTTTTTTTTCTTAGTTAAAACAGATATAAGTATGTGAATATTAATCATAAATATCTTGATTTAATAATGGGATATAAATATAGCTGAAAATGTAGTCCTGTTCATAAAAATTGATTTGTACATTAATGTAGCAATATTTACACTTATTAATACCCACTCAAACCTTGAAAAAAGTATTTGTCTTATTTCTTAGCGTACTTTAACATACGCATTGCACCTGATGTGTATCTCTTTTAAACATAGAGTAATTTGAAACATTTTCATTTTTTACGTACTTTACATTTTAGTCTGTTGTTTAAAAATTGACAATCTGTTGGAAGTGTACATTTTTAATAGAAATTTTTTTTTTTAAACTTTGATATTCCTTAAATAACTTTATGTTTCATTATTTCAAAAAATCAGACTGATGATAATAATTCAAAAACGTTAGCAATGGCGACCATGGTGTCACTGTTGATGTTTTTATAATTTTTGCTTTTATAATCTTCGTGTTTCGGCACTTCCAAAGCTTCATCACAATCAACGTCAGTGCGCTGAGAAACAAAAACTAATCGTTGACAGTTCCACAGTTACAATTTAAACCGCTATCAATTATTACTGATCTGGATAACGCCTAACTTAATCATTAAAATATGTAAACTTTGTTTAAATTTATTGTTTTATTATTCATTAGGTTAACAAAATTGCCTCCAAATGTTGGACCGATTTGGAAACAGCATATGCTTGTCCCAGCATTGCCTGCCCACTACCATCTTCTTTACTTATAGATTAGCTTTATTTGCTGGCAAATTTGAGATTTTGAGCAAGAATTGCAAACTTGATAACATAATATTAACTGACACTTATTTTGAAAGTTACAACATTTTTACTTATAAACACATCGTTTTCAAAATATAGCCATATTATAACTATGTAGCAATTTTTATTTTACTTAAGCATACAAATCTAAGCTATATGTCGTAAAATCAAATAAGAAGTGATCGTTTATTGCATTGCGATCGCATCAGTGTTTAATTGGTTTGGTTTATATTCATAAAATGTTAAAGATCCAAATAAAAGATCATTGCTGAGTATTGTAGGTTTTGTTTTGCTTTATATGCCTAAGTGCATTTTGTTTTTATTTCGTTTGTTGTCCATATAATTTTTTAGTCAGCCAGAGAAAATAGAGCTTCTGATGTACTATTTCCTTGGGCGGGAGGGGGGTAGTAATTGCATATGATTGTGTGGGCTGTGCCAGTAACATAGTCAAGGGGTTGATGAAAGAAATGTGTTCTTTTAATGAAGGGGCCTATCTTGGATATTTTAATCATGGAAAGGTGGGGTGGAAGAGGCTAAAATAGACACACCAAAGGCAGCACTAACCATAGCGTCGCCATTGCGTTATCAGTGCCAATACTTGGCAAAAGCGCGACCAGGGTAAGCTATAAATCTACCGGGCACTCTTTGCCTAACTTAAACCAAATTCATTCCAGTATTTGTTTCAGACAATTTTATCGGGCTAGCGCATTTTAGGAGCTTGGTTGGGGGGCTGGACATCTATTAGTGAGCACACGTAATCAGCTTTCATTCCATTTGAGGCATAACCAACGTTAATCTTTAGGCCACCAAATACATTATCTCCCTTACTTTAAATAATGAGCAACGAAGAGGGAAATGCGATTATTGGCCGTCATTAAAATCAAGTATAATAATGACCATTTCTAATTATTTCCAGTTTATTTCAGGTACAAAAACACTGTTTTGTAGAAAAGACAACATTTTATCTATAATTTTCATATTTAACAAAAAAAGTTTTTTCATGAATGTCAGAAACAATAATAACTTTATTTTTAAAGCATATTGACATTTCATAATTTACACTCTGTCCTATTTTAAAAGTTGAACTCACATTGTGAGGATATAAAAATTGAAAACACATTGCTCTCTCAGGTGTGCGTATTGAGTTAGCTCAAACAGTGCGGTACCTGATTGTCTATCTAGATAGAAGACTAACTTTTGAAAGTCATATGAACATGCTATGCAAGGCGATTTTTCTGGAACTATGCAGGATTAGTCACATCAGGTCCTTCCTAATAATTGATGCAACAAAGAGGCTGATGTCTGCATTTGTGCTATCACGCATGGACTATTGCAATGCTCTCGTGGTGGGTCTTCCAGCTACGCTCCTGGATAAAATTCAAATTGCACAGAATAATGCGGCTCGCATTGTTCTCCGCAAACGCAAATTCGACCATGGAAAAACACTTCTGAGAGAGTTGCACTGGCTGCCGGTGCGTCCTCGCATAGAGTACAAAATCGCAACTTTGTGCTACCGCTGCTTACATGGCCTTGCGCCGTCCTATCTGAAAGAGCTGCTGACGCCTTATGTACCCACTAGAGAGCTCCGCTCATCCGATAGTGGCAAACTCTCGACACCACGTGTTTGCCTTGAGACTTACAGAAAGCGCACTTTCGCATTTGTTTGTCCAACAATTTGGAACGCCCTTCCTGTCGATCTCAGAAACAACCAGACAATGGAGTCCTTTAAAACCGATTTAAAGACACATCTATTTCACAAACACCTTCTGGGATGATTGTCAACCTTATTTTCCAGTTAATGCATAATGGCTGTGTTGCGTATGGTTGAAATGGCTAGAAAGACTTTGCAATTGTATGCTTGTAATTAGTTTTTGTAGTGTTGCGTTTGTTTTAACTGTGGTAAATTATAGATTTGTTTTTTGTTGACTTTGTACCGCGCTTCGAGCCTTTGGGGATGAAGCGTGTTTTTGAAATGAACTTTTTTATTATTATTATTATTACTTAACAAAAACTATTTCAAAATATTATAATATAATTCCCCGTTTCAATGTCCGGATAAAATGTTTAGGAATGCAGCGAGATTGGTTGTAAACTCTGTTTTAGAGATTATGTGTATAATTTTGAAAGTACATTATTATTTTACTTTTTAAAAACCAGTGACGTTCATCATATGGAAGTTAAAATTGTGCTTCTATGAGATCAAGCCTATGAAACGTATTTTTTTAATTGTTTGTTTAGTATGAGTCATTTGCAAACGTCAATGATTTTTAATACAGCATTATTTCAAAAAAAAGCCCGTGTTTATTTATTGTACATTGTGATACTTATGAATAACATGCCTTTCAATCTTCAAATTAAAGAAAATTGAGATTACGTTTTTAGCAACGTGTCTTTATATCTAAACGTAAGATCTGTTGATGCGAAGAACTACGGAGTCTAGACTTTGGATGTGAACAACTGCTTAGATAACTTAGACACCAAAGGAAGTCCACCTGATAACATTTGGTTTTCCTTATACGAGGGGCAGCATTTTCGGTTTACAGCAATCGAAACAAGTGTGTTGAATAAATTTTGGAAAACCATCCAAAAAAAAAACAATATATAAGTATATAAAAAGTACTTTAAAAAACATAATCAAAACACAAACACTTTATTTATTTGAGTAGCATTGTAAGGCACGCCGGGTACTCACTAGTTGTGAAAAATAATAGGTTCCGCCCTTGGTTGCACCACCTTTGTACCTGTCAGGGAATTCCTTCTTTGGGGGAGCGGGTAGGGAGACATTTCATTTGTTAAGGTCTTTGAAAGGGCTTAAACCAGTACGGTTTCCCTTGTTTTCATATTCTGAAGCAAAACTCGTTTGGTGGGTTATGATCACTCTATTTTTATTACATTAATTTAAGATTTTAAAAAAATATAGTTTAGTTCCTGTTAATGCAAGTCTGTGTCGTGTGTAAGGTGTTAACAATTTAAAGATTAGAATACAAATTTTACATGAGCAAAATAATTCGTATTGTTAAAAGTTTTGGCACCAAAATAAACATATTAAAAAAACAATACATGTTCAGTGACTTTGATAGAGAAGAATATATATCTTCCTGTGACGATTTTAATGTATTCCAATAAAGCAAATATTTTTAAATATGTTCATTAAATAATGGATTTTAAGATTATTTTTCTTAACCTTAGCGCTTGGTGTGAATTTAGGTAGAAAATACATAGTTCAAGGTGAATTTGTTGATATTGTTTTGGAATTTAATGATTCCAATCAAATTAATTATTACACTCGATTTATCAATGTTACACAACAGCAATTTTTATGGTAAGTTTTTTGAAACTAATGTTATAAATGATAAAATAATAATTAACATTGACGCAAAAATGTTTTTTTTTTTTTTTTTAAATTTACTAATTAATTTTTTAAAACAAATAAATAAATACTTTAGTGTCATTAGGACATAAACCTAAAAGTAACGTTAAAAAAATTTTTAAAGTTAATTAATTATAAATGATAAAATAATAATTAACATTGACGCAAAAATGTTTTTTTTTTTTTTTTTTAAATTTACTAATTAATTTTTTAAAACAAATAAATAAATACTTTAGTGTCATTAGGACATAAACCTAAAAGTAACGTTAAAAATATTTTTAAAGTTAATTAATTAAATTTCCTCATTTCAGGCTTTCATCAGTGGTGTGTGACAACAACACATATTCCTATTCTATAACATATGACAGAGACCATGGATCTGTGGTCAGTAACAGCAGTACAACTTTTATGATGCAGAAAGCAGATCCAAACATTTTTCTAAAGGAATTTATTTGCGCTTCTTTGTCTACAGTCTTACAATGCACACGGGCACAAAATATTCAAAAATGTGAGGATAACAAGATATCATGGATGTATCTTAGCACAGACACGTCTTCGACATGTCCAGACAAATGTGTCACAATTTGTCCATTGAATCCTGTTCAAAGTATTTTATTTAGATATAATGTGCAAACTTTAATAATTCCCAATAATGCAGAGTGTCAACATACAATAACTTATCATATATCAACCGTAAAATCAGAGTCAACCTTTACGTCAGCTTACACTTCACCATCGTCTCCAGACAATTCTAAAAACACTTCACAAGATGATTCCCTACCTGTAATAATTGGCACCAGTGTTGCGGGAGGGGCACTCGTCATAATTGTGATCATTTTGTTTTTAGTATGTGTAAAAAATAGACAAAAAAGATCTCGACTAAAAAATCTCCAACGGACGGAAGACAATTGTCAGAACATTAAAGAGAACGGTATGAATACTAAAAAAAAACGCAATGATGCCGATGACCAGAGAACATACGTAAGAGATTTAACCAAAGCCAAAGGTGTAAAACAAATTATTACACATATTAACGGTACTGAGACTTGTGACATTAGTAATGAGAATGTTAACATCTCTACATACTCCTGTGTAGACGTTGATGCAACTGGAGCTTTAGAAAAAGATGATAATGTATCTAAACTTAATGGATATCAACAACAATTTCAACCAAGGGAATTCTCAAACCCAGCTTTTAGTGGATCAGTTATGGATTATTCGTCTATAAATGAAGTATACAATGGATTTAACAATGACACAAACAATAATGGTGCTATAAGTTCTAGCGAGTCGTCTCACAACAGTGGAAGCACTTATTCTACACTTGGAGAAAAGACAAGATCAGTGTCTGACACGTATAACGTAATGCCCACATTTAGCAACAAGAAGGGACACAAATCTCTAGGAGCAATCTCTGACTATGATAACAACAGGGGCAATGGAAACTTAGGGGACAATGTCGGGAAAGTGGATGATGTGCCCAATGATGTATATGCCCAGGTAATTAAACCATTTAGGAAAGTGCATTAAAGAAAATGGTGTCAATTTTAACAATAAAGTACAATAAAGTACAATTATACATTTAAATTTTTATTGTAAATGGAAATAAATATAACATGTTTGCAGATTTATTTTGAGCACGTTTTCGGAGATATGAAGAAAAATATTTGGTTACATTAGCACTTTGTTTAAATGCTTTTTTAAAAGGAAATTCATTAAGTAAGAAATAATATCAAAGATTTATCAGTGCCAGAGTTAAGCCCCACTTCTATTTAGGAAAAAAAATAACTCTGCATAAAATATGTCCATTTATTTCTTCGTTGTACTAAGCTACATACACTATATGGGAACAAAGATATTTTTTTTTAAAGCAAGTGTTTAG